TAAATATGTTAATGTGTGATAATTATGTCAAATAGACCATAGTTGTATCAATTACATATTTGATTAATATACTAATTAAACGGGCTACAAATGCGGCTTATAATCATGTCAACTCGTGTAATAAATTTACTGTGTTTGGGTTGATATATTTTTTAAAAACACAATTTAAATGAGTGATGCATTGAGTTAATGTTTTCTGACATGATTAATGAATAAATTGATGTAAACATGACTGGCTAATACAAGTTGTCAATCTAGATTTAGTCATGAGCAATATCCACAATATCTTCTCTTCTAGTTAAATTTTTTTTCACACACTTTCATCGACATACTATCTTGAATTCAGTTTCTCTTTGAATTGTTCATCAATCTACATATGGGTATATATATTGGCTTTCGTTTTACAAGCTAGCTACCTGAATATTTCTGCAATAATAAAGTTTATGGATCAATTACATAAATATACCTCCTACTTTTGACTTCTTCTTCTTGTTTTTTTGTTTGTTTTTTTTCAGTTTATCCATCTATTTTTGTAAAATTCAAACCTATCATTTGCATGTGAAAAAAACGCATTTTAATTTAATCCCTCTCGATTTTATTTTAATAGAAAAACCAAAAAAGACAAAATTAATTACCTTCTAATACTTAAAAAAAACATTTTAAAAAATTAATTTATGTTTTCCTTCAATACTATTATTGGCGGCAGATCTTTCCTTAAAAAAAATTATGTATCCAGGTTTTATTTTTAAATGTTTAAAATGTTTTTTTAAAAACTATTAATTAAGGATGCTTTTGTCCGTCTGTTTCGATTTTCTGCCTAAACATACTATATTTTTAAAATACAAAGGATATCTTGTTTCCAAAAAAAAAAAAAAAAAAAAAAAAAAGATAAGTTGTGAAAAAAACAATAAACCAGAGGTATCACATCTGTTGCATTTAGCACAACTTAATCAGTTATTATATAATTGAAGCACTTACATTTTAATTACAAACTCACTATGGTATAATAGCAATTAGTTTTAAATTTTATAGAATTTCCATGACCTCAATTTAAATCTCGGACTATGAAGTTGGGGATCAAAGGAAGAAATTCTTCGGTTCTGAACACTCAAGTGATAATTTGATGTCAATTTGACTCAATGAATATAGATCTATGCACATTGATGGCGAAAAAATGAGTGTATACAAATCCAACACGTATTTCATATTACACACATGCCATTTAATACTTTATCAACACAAAGTTAGGATTTTATTCTAAATTTAAATTACTATTTCTTTACGTATTTAAACACCGATTTGAATCGTAATTTAAATCACCATAATTCAAACTAAATTACACAATCCTAACGGCAAATCAAACAAGACCTACTCTTTTTTATTACAAAAATTAATTGTTACCCTTTAATTATTAATATTATTTTTGTACAAAACAGGATGAAACTCGTGCCTTTCTAAACACGAACTCCAGTTCTCTCGTCTCCATGACCATTGACATATAACCATCAATTATTAAGTTCACAAAAAAAAAAAAAAAAAAAAAAAAAAAAAAAAAAAAAAAAAACAATTATATTGTGGCGGACAAGCAGTTGGGATTCTCTACAACCATAAGAACTAAGAGAAAATTTATACCCTCGTTCACTTCGCGAATTCGAGTTGAGATGTGACATTTTCTGAAAATTTTTTACTGTAGTAAAAAAAGTTAGATGTGACATTTTCTGTGAACTTTTTACTGTAAAAACTTAAAACTAAAAACTCTAATCGGTGAAATGAACGAGACCTAGAAGATTTCTGCTAGACAATTAAGAAGCCCCACAAATATGGGTCAATTTCTATAGGCCTACAGTTGCAGAGCATGACCTCAGATTTGCATCATAAGTTTTATTATATTTATATATAGACACCATTTTGGGGTTTAAAGTAAAATTGTTTTTTGCAAAGTATTATCTTTATTGTAAGGAATTTAGCAATAGGTGTCTAGATAGGACCATTGTGAATACTTTTTAATTCAAAAGCTTTTCACAATGGAAATATATAAACAAAAGAATTAATGGATGGACCTACTCTTTGCATTCCCTTTCTTCACTAGTCATGATTGAAATTGGAAGGCTGCCCGTTATCTTTCATTTCTGTTTAGACCTATTTTTCCACACTCATGAATCTAATTTTTAGATTTTTTGATGAACAAAATCACATGGGCTAGAAAGAGCTTTTCCCATCAATGGGTGACTACGAACTCAAAGCATATCCTCTTGTGACTGTTTTAAGAGAAAATTGCTGAACATATAATCTTAAGCCTCGTTCACTTTACCGATTCAAGTTTAGAATTTAAGTTTTGCTACAGTAAAAAATTTTCAAAAACAGTCATATTTAACTTTTTTGCTACAGTAAAAAGTTATCACATAAAATCACATATCAACTCGAATTACAAACTCAAATCAGCAAAGTGAACGGGCCTTTAAACTATTTGAGTCTAAATTTATACTCCTTACTCGATTAATTTATTGTACTAAAAGAAAATATTAATTAAGAGTAAGGATTAAACTTTCAGACCCATACACTCTAAAGAATATTTGTCAATTTTCCCTATATTTTAATGGCTAGTTTTACCGGCCTAAAGAAAATTAATAACCAAACCGAAACAAGTAAGATATCAACTTCTGTTTTAATTCTTTTTCTTTTAAAATATGACAGTTGATAGCATTTACAAAACTAAAATAACTAAAGAGCAATATTTTAAAATATTTGAAGTGAGTAAACGTAAATAGAAAATTTACTAGAGAAATAATTTATTTACTTGAAGTAAATAAATTATTTACTTAACAAATTTACTATTGGCTACTATTTAGTTTAAATATTTGTAACACCTACTATTTACTTCAATTATTTACTGTCAAAAAAATGTTGTTTACTTTTTTTATATATAACAAACTTTATATTGAACTTTCAGTTCCATGCGACTAATGGGCTTGGCTTTGTTCCATAATTGAAGTCCATAAGGAATGGCTAAATTTAAAATTGGGAAATAGTAGAAAATAAGTCAATATAAAAAGCTTAAGAAAGTATATAGGTCAATTTTTAGTTATAGAAATTAATAGGTCATAACTTGTTAATTTATGGTTCATAATCAGATAAGTTATGGATAAACTTGTCAAGTTATGGTTCATAGCCAGACAAGTTATGGACAAAAACCGTGAATAACTTGTCAAGTTATGGTTCATAACCAGACAAATTATAGACGAAAACAGTAATTTGGCCTATTTATTAACTTATGTAAACTATTGGCCTATTAATTTTAATTTATCTCAAATCTTGACCTATTTTCCTCTTTCTCCCTTTGAAATTTTGAAATTTTGAAAATTTAGAGAATGTCCCTTTAACGAGAAGCATATTTTAAGAGTTAAGCCTCACTTTCTCTTTATATGAATTTTTTGTTTAAAGGCACTCTCTCTTTATATACTAACTTTAGAGTTACGGAATTAATTTTCCTTTTAAAAAAAAAAAAAAAAAAAAAAAAAAAAAAAAAAACGAGTTACGGAATTCTAAGAAAATGGCACAGAACTAAGGTTAGTTCATAATTTTCTATTTTCGCAGGTAATTTTAAAAAATACCCTTTAAAAGAGTGCCATTAAAGATTTTTGGGTCTCAATATTGGTCTATTGAATTTCACCCCTTTAGAGTAAGTAATTTGACAGATTATTATCTATAATTTGACAAATTACGCTGGCGGTAGGACTCCGGTCATCGGCGGCAGGTCTCTGATGACCAGCGGTGGGTGTAATTTGACAGATTACTACATATAATTTGATAGATTATTATTAAAGGAGTAGTCTATCACAATAAAAGAGTAAAACTCCAAAAAGATGTATTTAAGGGTAAGTTTTTGTAATTTTCTCTTTTCTCAAATAATAAGAGATGAAAAACTCAGAAACTCCTTCAGTCTGTGGTCCTCTCTTGGAAGAAATTTTTTAAGCCCAAATTAAGGGGTAAGACTTCGAAAGTCCCAATGTAATATACGGTCCAGCTTGACTTAATAGACTTTCAGAGTAAGACAAAAAATCCAAGAGCAATGCACTGTTCTTCCCTTCCCTTTATATATATATCTCTAACTTATTCTTAAAAGGAAAAAAGAGACCAATACTTTTTAAATGGCATGAATTTAGATTTTTATCTTTTATTCTTAATTAATATTTTTTTAGTCAAATAACTATATTAGTTAAAAGGGTATTAATCAATAATAAAGGATAAAAATTAAGGTCTATTTACTTTTAAGGGTAAGCTTAATAATTCTCTCCTTTTTTTAAAAAGAACATTTTCCAATGTCGCAAAGTTTTGCCGTTAAGGTCCCGTTTGACTAAAGGGATGGAGAGTAAGAAGGATTGGGAGTTGGAAGAATAAGTAATATAAAGAGATTCAACTCTTTGATGGGAAAAAAAAGAGTTGAAGGATGTCTAATTAGTATATTGCAAGTTTTACTATTTGTTAAGATTTTTTGAGGTAAAATAGTCTATTTAAATTAAAATGTAAATAGATTTTGGTGGATCCTTTAATCATTGATAGAAGTAGTTTTTATGGGCTCCAGAGTAGAGGTCATTCCTCCTCTCTTCCTTCTAAACAAGCAACAAATTTGTTCACTCCCTTCACTTCTTTTCTTCCACCCCTTTCTCTCCCTCCATCTCTCTCCCCAACTGAACACTCTAAAATCTAGTTCCCAAATCGCTTTGTCCTTTATATTCTACTAGAAATGCTGCCTAAAAATTTGAAATTATATCTCTTTGCCCTCATTCAAAATCTGAAATATTATGTCCGCCCCTTCTCACTTAATTTTCTAGCTCCACCCCTGCACATAGGTGATGATCTTAATCTGAGTGATTTGTGACCTCAAATCAATGAATTATCTTTTGACTTGTCAATGGAAGAGGTAAAGACAGATATGATTCTAAATATAGTATAAACAAATATTCATTTTGCAGAATCTATAGGTCTCTAATCTTTTTGCTCTGAACCTATAAGTCTCATTTGCCAAGAAAAAGAAAACTAGTAATGTGAGCATATGCACTATATATGACACGGTGGTTATCTTTTGCAATCTCAAAACAACAAATTGAATCCAAATAAATAATCTAACTGGCTTGATTGTAGTCCCCAACTAATTTAGGCCATCCTTTAATTCTTTCCAAATCCCACTCCAGTTTGAGGCATATTTCCTGACCTCTTGTAAGCGATTCTAACAAATGATTCCAGTGAAGAAGCTGCTCATCTTTAATCCCTCCGAAGCGTTCAATCTTTGCGCCTTTTAAGCCATGATGCCAACATTTTATGCGGCCAGATATGCAGCACGACAGGTCTTCTCTGTCCAATTCTGGAGCCCATCTAAATGACGTGTGCGGTACATAGTTCGGCATCATGAACTCTTTGCGTTTCAGCCTATTGACTGGGCTTATCCCTAAAAGTATCTTCAAAATCAGAAGCTTCTCACAAAGAACCTACATATGGAAAACAACAAGAATGGTATTAAAAAAAAGTTGTTAATACATTTTCTGGTCCATGTCAAAAGCTCTCACTTATTTTAAAAATAAAAATCACCAATTAGTCTCCATGTTAACAGCATATAACAGGAAAAACACCACATAAAAAAAGGCCCTGACGACTACTATTTTCAATTTTCGACCAAATGAAAACAAACTCCTCCAGGGTCGATGGAGTATGCCCAACCGAGGCTTGCGCGATTAAGGTTGATGTACACGATCACCATTGCAACTAGTAGTCCTCACTATCCACCCCATGAGTGTATAAGGATGAATTCGGAAGACCTAAACCTCTGATTTGTTCAGAGGTTTGTTCAGAGGTTCATCATAATAGTATATCTCACTTTGTTCCAAGTGGAGGACTTGGTCCACAAAAGTCCTCTCAAGCAAGAAACTTTGATGCCAAAATCCGAAAGGGAAAAAGAATACAGGGCTAAGGAATTATCTACAATCCATTCTAGCTACTCACACCAGATGTGCATTCACGACCGAAGTTTGAAACGGTTACGATTGTACATACCTTTATGCAATTGATTTCGAATGTGGAATTTGAGGGAACAGTTATTGTCTTTGGATGACAACTCCACAGCAGGCCATCTGCAAGAGCCGCATAATCTATTGATTCGGTAAAGTTGGGATAAGTTATCTTCAAATGGTCAACTTCAACCAGTGGAGGAATTCCAACCCCTAATTCTTCAAGGTCAAAACCAACCTTCAACCCACAAACAAACCACAAAAGTGTAAGAACTCAGAAGAGAAAAAAAAAATCGCAAAAACTACAACAACAAAGAAAAACAGTAATAAGTAATAACCAACAGTTATAAGCTTGCATTGCTAGCCATACCTCGTTCCTATTGAAGTATAATGTAACAAACTTTCTCTGAGTTGAAACACCAAGATATTTCCTTAACTCACAGAACCAAGCACTGACAACTTTACTGTAATTGGGACCGAATGAATGATAAATTTCCACCAGGTATGGAGCATTATAAAATATTAAGTCAGGTATGTTAAAACCTTTGTCTTCAAATTTCGATAGACTCGGAGCATCGACTTGAATCATCTTAATCTCATCACACCAAACAAATCGAATACTCCTAAGTCGTTGAGCAGAAATCCTAACCGTTCGCAACAATTCAAACATTGCAAGATCCTCAAGGAAGGGAAATCTAGAAAAATAGACACTAAGCAAGTCATCTGTGATGCTACACTGTGTTAGGTGTAGTTCTTTCAGATCACAACAGGAAGTCAAATTGATGCTACAAGGTAGTTTTGGTCCATTAGATATGAAATCTAAGCATTTAAGACTCGGTTAATCAACATCGACTCTCTCAATTTCATGTTCACTTCTAGAATTCCCCGCACCAAGCCTCTAAAGCTTATATTCTGCGATCTTAAGAGTTTTCAGTCCACAAAAATTCCGAAGACTAAGATCCTTAATGTTTGGATAGTTACGAATGATATCTCGAACAATCTTTTCACTCAGATAAACCTTTTCCAACCATAGTGATTGGAGATGATAAAACATGGAGGAACCATGACCAAACGTTTTTTCAGACATAGGATAGTGATTTCTATTAGAACCTCTCAAGTTTGTTGTGACCGTAATTGATATCTCATTAACACCATTGTTCAGAGCTAATGCCATCCATCCATCAATCATCCCCGACAAGTCCGGATTGAAACGAGTCACGAAGAGCTTGAATCTCCGAATTCCCAACTTTTTCAGAATGAATTTCTGCATGGACTTGTCAACGACGTTCATGAATTCCCGAACTCGCTCCGTATACTCCGGCGTGGCGTCGTCTTTTTCATGATTCCGTTGTACAAATTCCAATATTGGGAAGGAATCCCAAATAGAATTATTCCATTTTTTCGACAACGCACTCGTTCTAGCGGCATACTTTCTCGGAAGAAAACTCAATATGTGATGCAAGATAAACTGAGGTAAGTCCGAGATTCTATCTCATCAGTTTTATTAAACTCCAACGAAAACTTGAAATCTATAAGCAAATAAATGTATAGATATCACTAGTTCACGGATACATCCAAAAGAGGGAAGGAAAAAAAAAAGCAAAAGAAAGAAAACAAAAACCAAAAACAAAATTTACAAGGTAGCGAAAAACAAGGCTCACCTTTATTATCCGGATCTAAAAACGCTGCTTCTTGATCTTCAGGCAGATCCCAGACCCGGGCAAATTAGAGTTTAAAATCAAGGATGTTTAAAAAAGATTAAATCTTAAAAAAATTTAAGGGTAATTTAACTAATTTTTTTTAAAAATGTGACTTTACCAGTAAAAATTTGTAGTGGTGAAAAGGAGGAGGGTGGGGGGAATTGGTATTCGGTGCCGTCCGTAGGTTGGGGAAGGGAGGGGGTGGGCAACTTAGAAGATGTTTGGTACCTAAATTTATTTTCTGATTCGAATCATGGTTCGTGGTTCGTTACAGTATTTTCTTCCATAAAAAATATACGTAAATCGAAAATAATTTTAATCACATGGTTCTAATCCATGAACCAAACGTCACCTTAATCTTTTTTTTTTTTTTTGAAATAATTTTAATCACATGGTTCTAATCCATGAACCAAACGTCACCTTAACTTTTTTTTTTTTTTAGAATGTGTTTAGAAATATTCTTAAAATATAGTACGAATTTAATAATTATTAACAGTTTCTAATTAATTAATAAATTATGTTTTAGTTTTTTTTTTTACTGTGAATAAATTGTTTTTTATGGCAACTGTTTTTGGGAATATTTTTAAGAATAAGAATAAAATTATTTCTTGATATCTTATATTTTTGATAATATTAAAACTGAATGTTTGTAAAAACATATTCTTAATATCTTGGTATCGATTTTTAATACGTAAAATATTCTTTGTATCTTTTTATTTAAAAAACTAGTAAATTCTAAAAATATTTTAAGAGATTTCAAATATTATAAAAAATGGGTAAATAAAAAAAATTAAACACAATAACTTATTCTTACTTCTTCTACCTCAATCCAAATGATCAGAAAAAATGAAATAAACACAAACTTCAACAACACATATCAAATTGAAGCTCAAAATTTCAACAACACAAATAAAACAATGAGGGCGCATTTGATATGGGGTAATCATAAGGGTGGGAATGGGAATCTTGGTACAATTATTAGACTTTTTTAAAACTCAGGAAAGTGAAGCCTATGGGTTTCACATTACCCCATTTTGGGGTAATCCTAATCCCACCCAATAGGGTGTTATTCAAATTCCCAGGAATCTCAAAATCGTGGGAATCTCATAATAATAATAATAATAATCATAATAATCATAATAATCATAATAATAATAATAGTAATAATAATAATAATAATAATA